GAGAGAGAGATAGATAGAGATAGATAGAGAGAGAGAGAGAGACAAAGACAGAGTGAGAGAAGGGAAGGAAAAGTGGCTAGCCAGCTTTGCGGACAGTAATGATACCGAAAACCACAGCAGTAGCAAAGTTCGACTGTGGGACCTGGATTATTGGGCTTTCAATTCCCGGTGCAGGGTGCAGGGTATAGCTTGGAGGGTTTAGGTTCTAGGGTCAGGGGGGAGTCTAGCCATTTCCGCCCCAGCGGCGGCCGGTCGTGCTCCAGGAATGCAGTCACATTCCACGTCCTGCTTCAAGAACACCCATGTCTTGGGAGCAAGGGCTTCTATGCGTTCTGGGGTTCAGTGAGGTTGGGGATCAAAGGGCCCGCTTTAAGGCTTGCACCGCTAGCGACGAGGTGTCGGGGTTGAGGCTCTCTACTCTGGGGTCTTGACCTGGGCTGAGCGCGAAGGCTTGGGAAGGACTGACAGATGTCGTCCTGAACCCAAACTCTCAACCCCCAACCCCGAAGCCTAACCCCTAAGCCCAGCTCTCCTATGAGGCCCTTGTGTTCAGAGCGACGTAAGTCTTCGGGGGGGCCAGAACGGGACGCTGCCTTGGAGAACTTGCCATAATTTACACACAAAGCCCCTGAAGATCCCAACAAATCACGGAAACTCCCCAATGATTCCAGACACAAAACACTCAAAGAGAGAACTTCGGGTCCTGGGATCCAACAGCACCAGGGTCTGCTTCCCGATCTCCTTGGAGATTAGGGGTTTGGATCTTGAGACGCTGGGTTTTGAACCTGGGATCGTAAAGAGGTCCCTTACCCCAAGTGTCCAAGTATCTGATACACATGTACTCCCCCAAATACTAACCTACAACACTATTATCTTAAACCCAAGTACCTGATTGCTGGGTGCTTTGAACCCTTAGATTATAAACTACTGTGCCGTTGGAAGGGTTCGATTTGGGCTCCTGTCCTCTGACTCGCTGCTGGGCGGCTGGACTCAGCAGCACCCAGATGTTCCACCAGCCAGCACCCGGGGTGTTCAGCCTGTGTTTGGCTGGAAGTCACACGAAACTGGGAGTTTAGGTTATGCTCTTGAGGGCTTCTTAGGGTTTGATCCCGTTGATCCACAAGGAAGGGCTGCTAAGGATAGCTGGGTTGATGTGGTGCGATGGTCATGTTACCTTCGAAGAAGGTGCCCGGGGAAACAGCAACACTGCCAATGACATGAACACATGAACAACAACAGCAGTAAGAGCCGCTCTTGATACAAGCTTCCCAATGGCATTATTCACAAACACTTACCTCTATTAATCACCATCATGATGAAATTGTATTGCCACTAACAGTCACCAGCATTTTCCTTACAGTACTTACACCGAAATCCAGCTTCGGTCGACCCGAAGTTGCGGGTCGCA